GGACAGAGAATCAAATTTGGCCATCTCCCTTTCCTTTCCTCTGTCTCCCCCACTTGGTGCCATGGACAACGTATTGTAGGCAACCGAGGTTTTCTTTAGAGGTTGAAAACGCAATCATGGCTAGCATAAACACGTGAACTGAGAAGCTTTCCTCCATTTCACAGTGTTACAACTTGAGATGCTTTTGTTTATATATATATATATATGAAATTATTCCTGATATTTATTTAGGAGCCATCATCTGCTTCTATGCCATTAGGGTATTCTTTACAGCTTTCTCGTCCACTTGATAACTTTTGTAAAGTATTGTTTCATATAATGGTTTCATGCTTGTGTGCCGCCCAGAGCGGTGATGGAGTCATGGCTAATAAATAAGTAATAAACTATATTGATGCATTGTTATATTAGTGCTCAGACTGGAAAGTCTGCTCTGAATGCATATGTTAACTTGACTACTTATTATTCAGTCTTGTACGCGGAGTTGTTCCTCCTCATTCGAGAACAACTGTAGATCTCTAAACACAAAAATATTGCTTTTGAAAGGTTTTTTTTTAAATTAAATAAATGAAAACTAACTATCCCCTTCTACCTCCATTACAAAAATAAATGAAAAACAGGAGGAGGAGATGAAATCTCCACCTTGGGATACAAAATTGTTACTACTTGTACTTATATAACTGAGAAGAATAAAACAATGAATAATTAATATTTGATATATTTCTCTAAAATAACATTTGCGCTAATTTGTGTGTGTGTGTGTGTGGAATTGGCTGTGTAAAACTGGGAACGGGGATCTTTTTTTATTAAAACTAAAAGTAGAACAAATCAGGACCAATAAAAGGCACTCAACAGACCTATCTGAGCTATCCAAGGTGCCTCTAAAGCAGGGGTGTCAAACTGCCGGCCGTGGGCTGGATGTATCATGGTGAAACCACGCCCACCCCATTGCCGACAATGGAAAATAAGTCACGATATGTCACGACACGTCACGTGACTTTGCGAATTTGACACCCCTGCTCTAAAGGGTGGTGAGGTTTTATGTTGTAATTTTTAATGTTGTAAGCTGCCAGGAGTCACCTAATTTTGAGTTGGGTGGCCATATAAATTTGTTTAATATATTTTATCTGCAAAACACCAGTTAAGTTTAGATTGACCTGGATTTGGGGAAAACTGTAGCTGATTCTAGGTAGGTCACTCAGCTTCCTTCATTTGTAAATCATTTCTCTGCTCTTGTTAATTTGGAAGCTATGATGACATGTCTAGAGAATTCTCCTCACAAAGGGAAGCAAACACTCCATGAATTCCCCACTACAGTGCCTTCAGAGAATCAAAAACGTGATAATAGATGAAGTCATGGTTTCATTTGATGTCGCAGCTCTTTTCACATCCATAGACCCAGAATTAGCCAAAGTATCTATTACAACATTGCTCCATGGCACACCTGACTTAACCAAATACATGAAAATTGAACACCCAGGATCAATGCAACAGAAAAACTTATCAACAAATAAAAAGTACACCTATGGGATCACCACTTTCAGGACTCATAATTGAGGTCATAATGCAATGTCTGGAATCAATAGCCCTCCCACAAATGAAACCCAAAATATGGATCAGATACGTAGATGACACTTTCATCATAATAAAAAAGACCAATTAGAGAACACCCACAAAACCATCAACAACATCTTCAAAGGAATCCAATTCACCAGGAAAGAACAATTCACTACCCTTCCTGGATATCCTGATCAGCAGAGACTATGAAGGCAAACTAGAAATACAAGTGTACCAAAAAAAAACACCCACATCAATCAAGTGCTCCACTACCAAGATAACAACGCACCCTCCCACAAGAGAAGCTGTTAAGAACTCTACTTAGATGAGCACAAACACATTGCAGCAACTCTGAACAGCAGAAAAAGGAAATAGATCATCTTTACAACATCTTTCAACAAAATGGATATCCCTGCAACTTCATCATCAATCCAATATAGCATAACCCACACAGCCGGTAAAAAGGATAACACTGCTATACATCAAAAGCATCTCAGAAACCAGCATCAGACTATTACAACTACATGGAATCAGCATAAGCACACAAACTAACTAAAGCCTTCTAAAACATACAAAGTAAACCAAAAGACCCAGCAGCTGCAGGAGAAAAAAACAGGCGTCATCTACGTATACAGTGTAAAGACTGCAACAGTCACTGTGTAGGACAAACAAGCAGAAGACTAAACAGTCAAAAGATAGGATGAAAACTTTTTAATTTCACAACATATGGACAGACTTAACCACAGTTTCAACTGGGAAACTGTAACCATCCTAGACCAAACCAAGTCCCCAAACACTAGACAATTCCTGGCAGCCTAGCACTCTGACAAATTGGCCATCGACAGTCACATAGATAAACAAATCTACCTACTGTGCAAAAGAGACAATCAACAAGCAAAAAAAGCAACAAAAAGACCAAACACCTCCCCACCAGCAATCAGCAGTCAGATGAGTATAGATTAACTCCAAGATTAACATCAGACCAACAATCAAGTAAATACCCCAATCAAGAAACTGCCAAAGAAGCCAACAGCAAACAGCCCAACCAAAGAATCGCTAAGGCCACCCCCACCAACACCGACAGACCAGGCCTCTTAGAATATAAACTGAGAGCAAACTCGATTCCTTATTAGCACTGATGATGTTACCTAGTTTGGGTAATGAAAAGTCTATAAGAAAACAATCAAGCTGAGAGAACACCAAGGACTCCTAGAGAATTATCTTGCTTAGATTGGAGAATGGATCTTTCCAGGAAGAGCTGAAGAAACGGACTCTTTCCGGCTTCCACCAGTCCCTTCCAGCTGGGATTCTCTCCAGCTTTTCCACACTAGAAAGCCTCCCAGACAGGACTAGGACACTTCTGACCTTACCCTAAACCTGAAAATTGCTTCTTAAAATTATGCACTCTCCTATGCTAAGTCCAGTGTACTCCAATTGCTGCTCTGCAAATAGTTTGGGAATTGAGTCCCCAGCCTAGCTGAGATGTTCAAAAAGGCTTTGGGTAAGAATGCCAACGATCATCTTTTATGTCAAACACGCATCTTATCTGGTAACCTAATTCCATTCAGTAGCCAACTTGCCTACTAGTGAGATGTGCTGAGTGTCAAAGCAAGAACCTTTGCTTGAGGTATTTCTGCAGTTCTTGTCATCTGTTGGTTCTCTCTGTCCTCCTTTACCAGTTTGTCTATTTACTATTAATAAGGCTACCAACTTAGTAAGCATCTGTTTGTTACATTCCTGCCTGTCCTCCTGAAGTACTTATTATTTATTTATTTATTTATTTAATAAGCAAATTTATACAGCACCCATCTCACCAAGCAACTCTGGGCAGTTTACAAATGAAAAGTGTACAGTTCCCACAATAGCCCGGTGAAAGGAGATGGGTTGAGCTTGAGTGATTGGCCTATTCATCTGGGGAGCTTCCATGGCTGAGGAGAGAGAGGTTTGATCTCTCCATCCAATACCTTCACTATTATGTCCCTCTTGGCTTTTGGGTGAGAGAGGAGACACAGCCCGGAGCGCCTCAGCTAGCTTCTGCAGTTGAGGAGGGATTAAACCTGAGTCTCCCAATCCTAGTCCAACACTTTCAATCACTCTACTATGCATGAACTTCACATTATTCTAACCTGTGCTGATGGTTTTCACCTTCCAATATGTTTGAACAGCAGTTGTTCTACATCATTTTTTTTCATCTTTGGCAAAGACAATGCAACTGGCTTGGTGGAAGGGAACTCTGGTTCAATATAGCCAGATAAGGGAAAGTTGCTGTCGAGCTGTCGGTTTGATCTCCAAGTTTGTGATCTGGTTGCAAATGTTTCATCTTCATTCGGGGGGGGGGGGGGGACATCTCCAGTGCATTGCAACCAAATTGCCAATGTCAAGGTAATAATTTAAAAGCTAACCAGCTGATGTAATGTAAAATGTATGATGTAATGTTGGGAATGACTCAGCTGGGTCTGTATCCCTTTAAGAGCCGTTGTATAAAAGGGAAAGCTTTGCTGCTGTGTTCTCTCTCTTGTTTCCTGAAGTAACTGCTGTGTGTTGGAGACTGCTGTATTAACACGTGTATGTACAGTGCTTTTTTGTAAAATAAAAAAAAAAAAGGTGCCGGAATTCACACACATCATACAATCCGCCTTGCCTACCCTACAAGGTTCCATCCAAAAAAGGTGCCGGAACTCCGTTCTGGGTGTTCTATGAGAAAAAAAGCCCTGTGTATGTATATTGTTCCTACTGTATGATATTGTAGATCAGTGGTTCTCAACCTGTGGGTCGGGACCCCATTTGGGGTCGATTGACCATTTCATGGGGGTCGCCAAGCAAGGCTGTCCGCCATTTTTTTTGTCCGCCATTTTTTTTGTCCGCCATTTTTTCCCCCTTTTCCAGCAGGTGCCTTACCTCCCTTGGGCTGGGCCAGCTGGTGGTCGGCCTGCTCCGTCTCTGCCGCTTGCCAGCTACGCCTCAGCCGGTGCAGGGGGCGGAACCACGCATGCGCGGCGCTCCCAGGCAAAGTCCTCGACTTACGACCGGTTGGGGAGTCCTCGACTTACGACCGGTTTAGTCCTCGACTTACGACCGGTTTAGTCCTCGACTTACGACCGGTTGGGGTCGCGGCATTAAAAAGGTTGAGAACCACTGTTGTAGATAGTGTAAGATAAACCATCATTTAATACAGACCGCTGTTTACTGTGTTTACTCCTGGGTTACTCAACGCAATAAGACTGTGCATGCTCTGACAGCCAAGTTTGGAGATCAAACCAACATCCCAACTACCAACCCGAGCTACGAATATTCAAACACATTTCAAAGTTGTTGTCAACCCCAAAAAAAATCTTCCTGTGAGCTCTGTATTTGGCTTTGCCTCACTTCATCAACAGGTGTGCAAAAATAATCCTCTATATGTACCTGTCTAATGCTACCTTCTTTCCCTGTCTCTTCCTAGGAAAGCTTCAGAGAATTCTGCAGCTGGTGAGTCACTCTCTCTTTTTCTTCTTTTGGGGAAAAAAAAACTTATAAAAGCAACAATCAGGCTCACTCACTCCCCCCCCCCCTCAAATTTATATAGTTGGTCCGTGATGTATGAAGGGAAAACTTAGATCTCACCAGATGGATTCATTTATTTTATTGATTTTTCACATTTGTACGGCCACTCATCTCACAAGAACATGACTCTGAGTGGTGTTCTAGAGGTAATTAAAAAAGAAAACCAGTAAATACATCAAAACAGCCGTTATTAAAAACTGTGAAAAGCACAAGACCAAGAAATAAAATTAGCCACAGACAGGAAATCATGGCAAGATCTCCTCTGTCTTCTGGGACCTCCTCTGACAAGTCTGATGGTATAGCCAGGTCTTCAGGAACTTGCAGATTCATACAATGTTAGCCTAAATTGTGGCTGTAATCATGTCGTCTACGCATGATTGTGTAGGGTTGTCTATGGTTTAAGATTTTATGGCAGTCACAGCCACAATGGAATTGTGGAACAGAACTAAAATGAAGCATCATATGTGGTTAAAAGACTGTTGTGAAATCCTTATCTTCTTGTTTAGGAATAAGAGTAGATGTGCTTCTTAAATAAAGAAATGGCCAAGAACATAGCAGAGATAAGCAAGATTTTTATATTCTAATACTTGTATACCTAGACAACACACTGTTCAATACAGAAATGGAATTTTTGAGATAATAGTAATAGTAATAGTAGTAGTAGTAATAATAATAATAATAATGTAATGAAGTTTTTTTTTAATCTTGCCATAAGGATGGCTGGATGACCCTGTGGCATTTACAAATTAATGGTGAAGAAGTAGCCACAAGGAGTTTCCACCAATATTCTTTTCTAGGCTCAAAGTGTTAAAACTAGGCTCTTGTTTCCCTCAGTTTCTGTGAATTTAAGTTTAAAATTATTTTGTATTATGCATGCTACACTTATTCATACTTCCCAAACAGTGAGCATTTTAAGCTAGTATTTCATGAATCTCTAGGACACTTTCAAAAAAAAATATCCACATTTATGCTCATAAAAAGAGTTACCCCTAGAACAAGATTTACACACCCTCCCAGAGATTTTGTGTGAGTTTTCTGAAGATACCTTTCAGTGGAGAATGCCAAACCCAGTACAGCCATTCATCCAGAGGTACAGCAGGCACCCCCATTTTGAATGCAAGTAACGTTGCTGTTTCTGAATTAGTCCATGATTTCTTATATAGTTATGGTGACTTGGCAAAATCCTCCTGCCCGAAGACTGATGGCTGGAAAGAAGCAAGGCCAGAATAGTGAAAGCAACGCAGAAAGGACAAACAAAGCTGCTTTATACCAGGTCAGACTTTTTTCTAGCTCAAGGTGCAGGACTGGGGACTGATGCATGCATTCCATAGGGTCCTGCAAAGTTGTCTGTCTGTCTGTCTGTCTGTCTATCTATCTATCTATCTATCTGTATCTACCTGCCTGCCTGCTTGCCTATCTATCTATCTATCTATCTATCTATCTATCTATCTATCTATCTATCTATCTATCTATCTATCTATCTATCTATCTATCTATCTATCTATCTATCTATCTATCTATCTATCTATCTATCTGTCTGTATCTACCTGCCTGCCTGCCTGCCTGCCTGCCTGCCTGCCTATCTGTCTGTCTGTCTGTCTGTCTATCTATCTATCTATCTATCTATCTATCTATCTATCTATCTATCTATCTATCTATCTGTCTGTCTGTCTGTCTGTCTGTCTGTCTGTCTGCCTGCCTGCCTGCCTGCCTGCCTGCCTGTCTGTCTAATCTATCTAATCTATCTAATTTATTTTCTGTCCATCTCATGGTTCAGGCGACTCTGAAAATATCATTTCCCCATCACATGGGATTTTTCTAAAAAAGAGTTTCCAGAGGCGGAATCTGGAATTGTCTGCATCCAAAGTCAATGGCCTATTACTGTCACTGGGCAGGATTCACACATTGCGCCAAGATATCATGTGGTTTGTTGGTGCTGGCTAAGCGTGAGGTGTGAGCTCAGCTATTGTGCTTTGCAAACAGTGATTTATGGTTTAACACATTGTACGTACAGCTTATTTTATAAATTATATTTAGAGCAAAACATAGTGTAAATGCAATGTGTAACCTTCTCTACAGTTGGGTGATTCTTATGCTAGGTTAGATCTGATTCATGCATCACATATATATATAAGCTATAATTTGCTTAATAATAATAATAAAGTTGGAAGGGACCTTGGAGGTCATCTAGTCCAACCCCCTGCTCAGGCACGAAACCCTATACCATTTCGGACAAATGGCTGTCCAGTCTCTTCTTAAAAACTTCCAGTGTTGGAGCGTTCACCGCTTCTGGAGGCAGGTTGTTCCACTGGTTAATATGGTTTAATGAATATTTGACACAACAAGCAAGGCATGCATTGTAGCTTACAAGTTGTAATGGCTGCATTCATACATCGTACTAAACGTAATGCGAAAATGACTGTGGGAGACAGGAGGAAGAATTGCAGCCTAGACAATGGTCTGATAAATCAAATCTGAGACCTATAAAGAAGAATATTTGTAGCTCAGGGTTGAAATGAGGGGTCTTTGGTGCTCTCTGAGCATCACAGACCCCTTAAATAAACTCTGAATCCAAAGGAAGAGTGGGGGTGGACCTTCCCTAGGTTTTAGAGAAAATAAAAGGAAGGGAAGGAAGAGGTATTTGAGATTTGCAAAAGTGATGCCCGTCCTTTGGGGTAGTTCAGACAGGAAATACCAACCATGAGTATTAACACTGCCTTTATTGTAAGGTTATAGTCACAGAAGGTTGTAACTCTCTCCTCTCTTACTTTTCTCCTGAAAAGGAGGGAAGGTCCCTTGTGAGATGCCTTCTCCATCCCCACCTTTCCTTCAAACTCAGACATTGTTTGTTGTCTAGATAGTGGTACTTTCTCCTGTCTTCCAAGGTCATTCTCACATGCCATTGTATCCAGTGATTTAAAAAAAAAATCCACATAATTGCTTAGCGATTTGTGAACCCATTCTGGAAGGGTTTTATTTTACAGTTTTGGACAACATAGTATATAAGAAGTGCTTGGTCTCCTGCCAAGCTCTTCATCTGTGTAACTCAATATTATCAACAATAATTTTGAGTCCTTAGATCATAACTCCACCAGTTCCAGGTAGCACAGCTATTTGTAAAAAATGATGTGGTTAGGAATCTCTCAACTGGGAAAAAGTGTTCTCCAGGTCTCCAGGAGAAAGATTTCACATCATCGCCCACCTAATCTGTTTTATTTAACAAGCAAAGCTAAAATCTGTAGTATCCTGCTTTAAAAAAAAAGTGCAGTTAGGAATCCTGTCTTTTGTGGAAACTGGAAACATTGATAAACAAGATTTATTTAATGCTTGCAAAGACTGCATCCTTACAAGTCATTTACTGAATTAATTGCTTAGTGAATTAAACAATGTACTGAGTTTGGACACATGGGAGCAGAACTGAATCCATAGGTTGAAATGTTGGAGGACCCATCTCTCATCTTCTAGAGATCTTCTGGGTCTATAAACTCTACCTCCACCTGCTTTGATGGTCAAATCAGACATTCTTGTCACTATCACCTATCTTCTACAGAAGGCAGGATCTTGTACCCCTCTGTCAATCTTATACAGAATAACAGAGTTGGAAGGGACCTTGGAGATGTTCTAGCCCAACCCTGGCCTATACCATTTGAGACAAATGATTGTCCAATACAGGTAGTCCTTGTTTAATGACCAAATGTAACTAGTCTAAAGAAAAGAAGAAACAGGGGAGACATGATAGCAGTGTTTCAGTATCTGAGGGGCTGCCACAAGGCAGAAGGGGTCAGGTTGTTCACCATAGCACCAGAGGAAAACAATGGTTGGAAACTGATCAAGGAGAGAAGCAACCTGGATCTAAGGAGAAACTTCCTGATAGTGAGGACAATCAACCAGTGGAACAGCTTACCCCCAGAAATCGTGGGTGCTCTATCACTGGAGATCTTTAAAAAGAGACTGGACAATCACTTGTCTGAGATGGTGTAGGTTCTCCTGCTTGAGTGGGGGGCTGGACTGGAAGACCTCCAAGGTTCTATTCTATTCTATTCTATTCTATTCTATTCTATTCTATTCTATTCTATTCTATTCTATTCTATTCTTTGCAGCTAAAATGGCGATGACAATAACTTTACAACCAATCCTTTACAGGTCTGTAAAAGATAGGAAAGCTAGCACATCACATAACATCACTAGCACAATTGTGGTTTCACTTAACTGTAGTTGCTAAATGAGGACTACCAATATGTGATAGAAATAGGGCCTCACAGTTGACAAAAAGTGGGAAAAAATGGGAAAAGTGTAACAATGAGTTTGGAACTAGAAACACCAAGCTTCTTTTTTTTTGTTTGAGGAGGTAAGACTAATCTCAAAATGAATCAAACTTTATTTTAAAAAGGAAAAGAGAGAAAGTACGCATTGCTTTTTAACCTTCAGTACTTACTCACAAAGCATTCAGTGATGAAGAAAATCAAAATATAGGACGATTGTATTTGTTCATACATAAAAGCTATTAAATCTTGGCTATTTCAACAGGACTTTGAGGAAAAATGATCTAAGAGGAATACATAGGGCATGACTCTTTGACATAAGAATATTTTATTACTTATATTATTTATTCTTATCATTTGTTATTTTAACCTTGTTTACACATGATTGGAATGTAGCCTGTCACAATCAGTGAATGATTGGAGCAGCATGTAAGCCAAGTGGCACGAATAAATAAAACTGATGAAAAAAGATTCCAAGTTGAATAAAAACACATAGTGATTGAGCTTGTATAGAGACAGTAGATACCAGAAACAATAGATTAAATAAATTTAAATAAACAGAAAAACAAAGTAAGCACAATTTTAGGTGGTTTTTTAAAACTTCTCTACAGAAATGATGATTTTGAAGAGGTATTACCTCTATGTCAATTTGTTATAGCACCTGGAAAATCTTTCTTCCTACAAATTCCAGTTTTAATGAGAGAGTGGTTTTGAATTGTCTTTCTCCCATGTCTCCATTTCAGCTCACAGCTCCTGGTTTGTCTTTTTCCTGTTAGAACATTGTTTACAATTTCCAAAAGAACAAAAACCTTCCCACATGGATAGGGAGAAATTATGGGGGAATTATTTGGCTATGTGATAAATTGGCCAGCTCTTCTGAGAAGGGTTCTGCTTGAGACATACTGTATGTAATGTGTATTTCTTTGGCTGGGGAGTGGCTGTCAATCCTGTGAACGCCAAGTGATATCACAACAGCATAATATATTGAACCATAACACTCAGCTACTAAAAAACAAAAGGAGGTTAACACTAACCGAGCTTCACCTAGATACAAATGCAGGTTAGCATGGTATGAATGTGTCATATCATCAGCTTACATGCCAAAGGGCAACCTCTCCTATGAACAGCCTCCGATTCTCCACTGAGACATTGGCACAAAACAATAAAGTGAATGTTGCTGTCTCCATTCTTTCCGATTTATACTTTATTTTTTCCCTCTCCATAGCTAATGTTTGGAACCTTCACCACCCATTTTCACCTGAATATTCAACCAGAGCTCTTCCAAGTGACTCCCTGTGGTTTCCAAAACCCACTGCATGGAAGGGATGGAGAAGTTAATGTTTCTGCCAGTCCTGAATTCTGGACACATTGAGAAAAAAAATGTCCTTTGCAGATGCCTGGAAACCTCTGGACTTCATTTCTTCATATCCTCTTCAACAGAACCTGAACAGTAGAACCAAATTTCAGGATTGAAGTTGCCTCTACTTCAGAAGAAGTTCCACCCATAACTGAACAGACCAGATTTTTGAATGGGTTCACTTAAGAGAAAAAGCCTTTACTTTAAGGCCAAGACTTGGGAGCCCTAACCAGCACTCTGGAAAAATCCCCCTCTGCCTCCTCCAAACCTCACTAGATATGGGTGACATGACAGAAAGAAGCTTGTGGGCTTTTGTTTTTAGGTTGCTGCTGAATCTAGACTGAAAATTAAGCCAGAGAGGGGAAACTGATGTCAGGCAAGGATGGGCAACCAGGGCACTGGAGCTGCAATCCTGCAAAACAGAGAAAGGTGTATAATGCAATTTCAACAAACCTGCCTGGCATCCCTGTCACAGCTACCAGGAGCAGTCCCAGTCAGCAAAAGGCTGTAAAGTATGAAATTTTCCTGTAAACTGGCAGAATACTGTGGGCAATATTTCTTTCATCTTCTCTAGCACAAGGCAGGAAGAAGCTCTTTTATAAAGTCTCCTGGGTCAAAGCTGGAGCTTCTTGAGTTAGTTGTCTACCATTTCACTCCCAGAATTCATTTCACTGGTCACTTTCCTCCATCTTCTTTTCTGATGGAACTCAGTTTCCACCTTCTGCATTCATGGAATGAAAGTGTTGGAAGGGACCTTGGAGGTTTTCTAACCCTACTCAAGGCAGGAGACCTTGTACTATCCCGGCCAAATGGCTGTCCAATCTTTTCTTGAAAACCTCCAGCCATTGTGAGCACCCACACCTCCAGGAGGCAAGCTGTTCTTTACTTTAGTACACCAAGGACACCACAGTGTGGATAAGGGGTAACCTGGTTTGTTTGTTGCTTAGCAGAACGTGCAAATCCGGCTTCAATGGCCTCGTTCCACAAACAAGAACAAATACTGAGTACTATTCACAAACCCATTCTATGCCGATCATTGAGGAGCAGCAAAAATGATAGCATTTTTGGCATGAAATCAAATGTTGCTGAAAATCACTGTACAATCATTCCTTAAACCACCAACAGGTGAAAACGTTAGGACTTGAGGGGAAAGAAATGTCACTAATGTCAACCAGTTCTTATAAAGTTGAACCGGAGCCTGCTTATGGGGAAACCTCTGGAGTGTTCTACCTTTGTTTGCCTTTTTTTAAAAAAATTAAAAATGAATTAACAAGATTTCTTGTTCCCTTACTGAATGGTACGCATGTGCACGAATAAGGAGGAGACTGCAGTACCATCACATAGTTAACACTGGATTGTTTTTATTTTATCTGTAATAAGAGTGATTTTTAATTTGTGCTTGACTGTAAATGTATCCGGGTCCTTCATTGTACTGGACTGAATGTAAAACCAAGAGCAAATCAAAAGGCTGACCGCCAAGGCAACTGGGGCATCTTTCTGCAGGAGGTGTTGGATTGGAATTTTCAATAATAATAACTTCAAGTGTAAGCTGTGGAATCAATCCTTGTGCAACATTTAAATGATTTGCCTCTTCCCCCCCCCCCCCAATATCAACTGTGAAGGACATACAATACTTGATGCAAGCCATCAAGAGCCTCTAGACCAGGGGTAGGCAACCTTGGCTCTTTTATGACTCGTGGACTTCAACTCCCAGAATTCCTGAGCCAGCCATGCTGAGGGGACAGGGAGAGGTTTCCAAGCTGAGCCATGCTGGCTCAGGAATTCTGGGAGTTGAAGTCCACGAGTCATAAAAGAGCCAAGGTTGCCTACCCCTGATCTAGACTGTGCACAATAGAAATGGGGAGAATAAATCAATCTGCAGAATAATACAAGAGGTCAGAAATCCAAAACACTGATTAGAAATGTTGCCATCTTTGTAGTGCTCCTGCTTTTCTAATAGCAACACAATTTAAGTAGTCCTTGAACGTACAACCATTTAGTGATCATCTGAAGTTAAAAACCGTGCTGAAAAAAGTGACTGACAAACAGTCTTTGCACTTAGGTTGTAGCGTCCCCACAGTCACAGGATCAAAATGTTGGTACTTGGCCACCGGTTATGATGGTTGCAGTGTCCTGGGATCCTATGAGGTGCCCTTTGTGGTTTTTCTAATTGGCTTCCAATGAGCAACGTCAACGGGGGAAGTCTGGTTTGCTTAACAACTGGGTGATCCACTTAAGGATCGCAGCAAAAAAGATAGAAAAATTTGCTTAGTGACAGAAGTTCCAGTCCCATTGTGGTTGTATGTTGAGGACTATCAATAGTAAAAATGGGAATTGGGACTAGGTTACAAAAATGGGGCTGGAAAAGGAGAAGAGTGCGTTCTCTGATTGTGCAGACACTGTTTTTTCCTTCATCGCCACCCCTGATATTTGTAGTAGCAGCTACCAAACGTTTTTCACAATTCCTTTAGGAAAGGATGCTGTAGTTCAGGGGTCTTCAAACTTGGCCCTTTTATGACTTGTGGACTTCAACTCCCAGAATTCCTCAGCCAGGCACGCTGACTGAGGAATTCTGGGAGCTGAAGTCCACAAGTCATAAAAGGGCCACGTTTGAATATCTCTGCTGTAGTTCAACACACAGGAGTTCTTCTAGAAAGCTTGATAAATCATTTTTTAACAGCTACAGAAATGAAGAAAGAAACAACGCAGGTGTTCATTTTACAGAACTACCCGTGTTTCCACGAAAATAAGACCGGGTCTTATTATTATTATTTTTTTGCTTCCAAAAAAGGCACAAGGTCTTATTTTCGGGGGGTGGGTGTCTTTTTTACTCACCTCCTGCACTGACAGCCCTGCCCAGCCAGTCCACTTCTGTAGCCAAAGGAGTAGCTTCATCCTGCAGCTGCATTCTGGCCTGCATTTCACAGTCAGGCCTTTCTGGAAGGCCTCTGCAGCCGAGTACTGAGCTATGGATTCAATCCATGGATCGGTTCTAGGCTATAGTGGCCTTTCCAGAAATGCAGGCCTGACTGAGAAATGCAGGCCTGGTTGCAGAAGACACCTCAGAAGAAGTGTGCCGGGGAGGAGAGGCCTGGCTGCAAGGTAAGTGGGGCGCGTGGGGAAGCTCCATATCCCCACCCTAGCTTGATTTTTAAGTGTGTGCCTCACCCCAAAACTAGGGCTTATTTTGGGGGTTGGGCTTATATTAGGCCCACCCCCCGAAAATCAAGCTAGGGCTTATTTTCGGGGTACGCCTTACTTTCAGGGAAACGGTATGTAAATATGGAATTGTTTCAATTCACTTGTAATTCTGCAGTTGAGCCAAGCCAGAATGCGGTTGGTGTGTCTGTGGCTTAATGCCACGAACCTAGTCATTTGTATCATATTTAAGAAATCTTCATTAAAAGAGAATATGGTTTAACAGAATGTGTGAAGCCAGTCAATATGTTTTATCTGATTTGTCATTGCCATCTTGACATGTAAACATGCAGGGGAGAGGGGGTTAAGTTAGACCTTTACAGACCAACTGTTTAACCAGCTGGATTTATGCACGTTGTGGAGTGGAGGGGTTGGTCCGCAGAAGCAAATGCTTGATATTTATGGGAGTTGTGACCTGCTAAATATGGGAAAGCACAGCAGATCGTGGCAACACTTAATCAACCTTGGCTAACCCAAGAAAGATCAGCAGGGTCAGGCCAGGTTAATACTTGGATGAGAGACCACTAGAAACCTCAGGGCTAGAGGCTAAACAGAGAAGTAAAACCACATTCAGGAAGAAAGCAATAACAAAAAACAAAAAAAAGTCCTTCCAAGCACATGCCAAGATAAAGGACATGAATACACCCATGAAGTCAACAGGAGATGAGCTCAACTTCAGGGAGCTTGACCTTAAATCACTTTCAAGTGCGGGGAAAACAAGTAGAAAATCTCCTGTAACAAATGCACCTTCTCCTCCAATTATAATGCATTGCTAAAAGCCCCTTCAGGCAAAGCCTAGATTCAAATACATCCCAGAAGTTGGGGCCTGTTCAAATACCTATTTAATTGTTCCTACATGAGCCTGGTCTCTTTGCCTCAGCATGCTGGAATGATATATTATAAGGCAGATGACAACCTGATTACATCCAGTTTCCATCCAATGTTGGCATGGAGGCTGCTTGGAGAATGCAAAGGCGTCACTTGCGCAAAACACGGACGATTTCTCTTGAAACCACAGCTTCTTCTTTTCCTCCCATTTCAAGGGGGAGGGGCTCTTGTCACTTTAAACCAGGGGTAGTCAGCCTTGGCTCTTTTATGACTCGTGGACTTCAACTCCCAGAATTCCTGAGCCAGCCATGCTGAGGGGAAAGGGAGAGGTTTCCAAGCTGAGCCATGCTGGCTCAGGAATTCTGGGTGTTGAAGTCCACGAGTCATAAAAGAGCCAAGGTTGACTAACAACAGCTCTGTTTCTAAAATATTACAGGCTGTCCTCGAGTTATGACTGTAATGGAGCGTGCCTATCACAGTTGTAAAGTCGTGACAGTCAAAAATCAGGGTCAACCCTTTGACAGATCCGATTTTACAAATTTTTGCAGCGGTCATTAAGCAAACAACATGGTTAAGCGAACCAGTGGTTCACCATGGGCTAGTTTTTGCCAAAGAATGGAAGTAAATTTCAACAAAACCATCACAAAACACGCTCACATCACCTCGGCACATTGCAAACAACTGCAAATGCAACCAGGTTGCTGAGCGCTCAGAATGCGATCCTGTGACCATGCAGGGGGGTATGTGCTGCAGTTTCGAATCTAGGGCGTAAGAACTTCTAGCGAAGTCTGTCACTAAATGACAGGTCATAAGTCGAGGACTATCTGTACTAGCGTATTTGGGAGGCAGGAATCCGGATAACCATCAAATGGCAGCAGTGAAACAGAAAGACTAGAGTTTTGTTGGTCAGAAACAAATTAGCCTAATCTAGAAAACCAATGGGTGAAAATGGTATATTCTTATATTATCTAGACAGGTAAAACCTCAGAAGTAGTTTTGTAGCTGTTAAAGCACCATTTTATTAAGAAAAGATAGGAAAATAAAAGGAATTCACCTGGAGTCGAGCAGAGCACCCTATTAAGGACATGGAAGGAAAAAAGAAGTGGCAGAAGGGCTGCTAAACCTTTTGAAGTCTAACAGGAAAGTGTTCCTCCCAGTTTTTAATTATTTCTTTTTAACCTTTGTTCCTGTATCCGACAGCCATAAATAACAGGCATACTAGTGTTCTGTGCCTGCACCTGCTCAAAGAGAACAGATTCAAACAGATTCAAAAAAAGTTTTGAATGATTCCACCCCACACACACACACCACCAATTATCTTGCGCTGCTCTATCATTCATCTTGGTTCTGCAATTTGAGCAAATGCAGGAGCCTCATCATTTATCATTTTAACTTGAGCCAAGGATTTGTGAGATACAGCAATGGGAGGGATCAGCTGGTAAATGTCTGCAAGTTCAGCTTAAAGTCATAGGAACAAGCCCGGTTTAAATAGAAAGGTGCCTAAGCAGTGAACAGAAACATAGGGACAGTCTGTTCTACCTAGCTGGATGTCCAGGTCTCATCGGCAGCCAGATTTTTTTCCATGTGTGCCTCAAAATTTGTATTTTTAATTTAGTAGGATTTACCCCTTAGAATATAGTTTTAAGCTTGTGTATCACCTATGTGAGTTGCTAATATGAGAAAAGAAATGACAAGCAAGCCTTTGTGATTTTGGTCTTGAATATGATGAGGTTGATATCCATTACACTTGGCTCCCTCGCCTCCACCTGATGGATAGCAGTGATCTGGCAGAAGAGAGGCTGGGTAGCATTGAGCTATGAATTCTCTACAGCATTTTGCGTTAAATGCCCTTGTCCTGCCATTCTGGAATGCCATATGTAAAGACATCTGCTGTTATGATGATGCTTCCCTGTGAAACACCAGAAAAAAGGAAAAGAGAAAAGAGCAACCTAAAACTGAGTGGTTTCATGGCAACATATATTGGATCGCTGCTGAAACTATATTTCGTTCAAAACAGAGTCATGGGTGATTGCATAGCTTTTGCTTTTCTACTAATGACTAATCCCAGAGTTAGATAAATCAGCCACTGTAGAATCAATTATGCAAAACAGACCTTTATACTTGAGGCAGAATTTATATTGCCTTTCAGATTCTTAAAGCGCAAAATGCACAGAGCTGTTTATAAGCAGCACCAGAGCCAAAACCAAGGTTGTCCCCAGAAACTGAAATACCTGCCAGGTTATAAAAAACACAACAGCGCAATAAAATTTTCCTTTCTTTCTTAGAAAACACATGTTTTAAGAAGGGTACAAGCAGGACATGTGGTCTCCAGTAATTAATTTTCAGGACTGTGCTCCGTCTGAGCCTAACTATATCAGTGATGGTGAACCTTTTAGAGACCGAATGCCCAAAAACTGGCCCCACCCCTGCTCTACCCCCTGCCCCGCCCCCACTCCACCCCCACCCCGCCTGCCCGCAGGGCCACTCACCGCCTCCAGGGCCCGCCGCAGATCGCCCAGGCAGCCCAGCAGCACCATGGTGGCCACGCCCTCTCCCCGCACCCCGCACCCTCAACTGTGTGCAATGAGGCATGAGGGCAGAGTCTTGTCTACACTGCCTGGCTGCCATGTCCTTGGCTGCGCTGCTCCGCGTGGGCCACACTCAGGGGCGACTCTCCTCCAGGGGGGCTGCTGGTGAGGAGGGGATCATGGGGGGAGGCAAGGCTGGGGCAATGGCACATGTGCCCACAGAGAGGGGTCTGAGTGCCAGAGGTTCGCCACCACTGAACTATATTAACTAATAGTCTCTAGAGAGGCCAACACAAGGTGTTAAGCCATACTGTGACTTTTCGGCTATAAAGGCACCAAAATACTATGAATTACTTAACAAACTCATGTTTAATACAGTTATTCCAGTAATTTATAACTTTACTCTCCACCTGCTTGTAAAATTCTCCTTTAGAACTATGCTTGCTTGGTGACCTTGCTCCCCCTTTTGGTCTATAAAAATAACAAGGTGTATCTTTTTCACTGTTGCTGCTAGAGGTGTTTGCTTTTAGGGTTTTGCACATAAAAAAATTGTGGCATGCAGTAAACTACACATTTTTTTCCTAACGCCTTGTGGGATGGGAAAAATAAACTAACTTTTTCCTGGCTGAAATGCACATATACTTAAAATAGGAACCTCTGCAGTACTGCTAGAACAGGGTAAGAGAAGAATCTTCCGCTAGATTGCTGGTGACTTCTCAGAAAAACAGGGAACTTGTAATCCTTCATACTGTGGGACCAGGTGCTGTTGAGAATCAGATTCCCCACCTTTAGAAAAAAAGTTTAAAACCTTAGTTACCAGATCAAGATACAGCACATCAGTCATTTTCCTATATTCTGAGGGACATCCATTTAAGAACTTCATACCTTATTCATTGAACGGACATTTTATTCGTCAGTATGTTTATATTCTGCTTCTCCAAGAAGCTCAAGGCAGCTTTCCCACAGTTCCAAACATTCCAAATGAACATAAATCTGACATATTAACCAGCGAAACCCATACAACTTAAGTATTCAGACCACAATTTTGGCACAGGCTCAGCACTTCCAAGATGCAAGAGCTTGACAGGATGGCATAGCTTTTCAAAACAGGGTGCCTTCCAAGCATTAGGACAACAACACCCGGCATTTCATAACAACAGGGACAGTTGTAGCAAAATCATCAAAACAATGGTTTACCCAAACAACCAGTGACTTTAGTTTGGCCATCTATGGTAACGTACTTTATTTAGATTAGAGCTATTTCAGGAATGTTTTAAACCAGGAAAAATCCTAACTCTCAATGTTTCAAGCAAAATCTTCATTGATGAAATTGAAAGTGTAAGGAGGTTTATAACTTGGGAGGGGGAAGAACTTCTTTGATGGAGTTTCTGGTCTCCTAGCGTTCATGCATACCAATTTTCCACAATATTATGCATGTCATTTCTATTATGCTATTTAATGTTAAGGCCACCATCCTCAGAAATAGGTAGGCAGCTTGTTTATCTGCCAAGCGTGACTTTTATTCAATGAACTGGAATTAAATTGCTGTATGAAAGAATGGTGCAAATCTAATATGTCACATGCAAAATTTGACAACTCTGTGGTGCACGACCTTGAGATGGTGGTGTTGCTTAAACTCAGAGCCACATTTCTTAGACAGGGATCCAGGAAGCCAAGGCTTTAGTTCAAATGTGTGAATCTATACTATACATTTTAATGCTTTAAAAAATATGAACATTTTCTAACAAGACCAACAAGAAACTGTCTAAATAACCTCCTAATCATTTTACCCAATATGTGCTTTCTTGTAAAAATATTTTATAGCATCTTATAAGCAATTCTTGTGTTTGCTGGGCCAGTCCACTGAACTCTTCCATCCAATGTCCTGTTTTGCAACATGTTAGCTTTGAAATATGGCAGTCAAAGAGGCATAATCCATTTTGTCAGCTGATTATGAGCAAACAAATACATATCTTACTTCTTTGGTGGGAAAAAAGACAATAATACTATACAATCTTATAAAACCTGCCCAGATTTGTACATCTGTAGTTTACTCAAAAGTTTGTATTGTAGAGGGGGGGGGGGAAAGCAAAGGGCACCTAATGAAGTCCATAAGCTCAATCAACCACAATGTTTACTAAATTGTGCCATGCAACTTGCCTAAAAATTAGCGGCTAAGTATGAGGTTTATCACAAAACGCCAGGAGGTCCAGCCTTCTTCTGTTATTTTGCAATCCAACTTTCATCTAGCGAGAACACAAAATACAACAGGCATCTCTGAAACCCACACTTTCCTGCATAGAGTTCTCCCTAAGAAAGAATCCACTTCGGCAAATAAGTGATGAGAAATGAACGGGGCTAAACCTCACTAAGGGGCAGGAGTTGTATCCCTTGGTTTCATATTTTAAAGGTTTCCGCTGAGAATGACCATGCGCCTTCAGCTTTAACCTCTGAAAAAAAAGTTCTTCAGTCATCGCGGCTGTTGAGAAACATACCTGCTCTAAGGCTCACTAAACTGAGCTTAAGGCCTGCTTACCTGTCCAAAAGGTTACACTGCTGTGAGCATTTCTGGTGGGATGTAATTTTTTTTTAATCAGCAGGGGTGCCAAAATAAGCACACGGAGGAAAAGAGAAAGATTTTGAGAGTGTACAGTTGTCTCTCCTCCCGCAGAAAACCACAGGTAGCCAGAGTAATCAAACGTTCACGCAACGCAAGAAAAGGTCCCGTTCCTCAGGCTCCTGCTGAGTCCCGTGTGGTTTTAGCAAAGGTCTTATTTAATGTGAACTTTTGCCCAGGCAATAAAATGTGCAGGGATTGTGCAAGGTGATCGTGGGGATTTTATCAGTCATAAAGACTGGGCCCAGCTTCCTTTTTTCTTTTTGAGTCCATACGTACATCAGCCCCTGCCTTGGCATACAACATTCACCTCTTTTACATCTTCCAAGTTCCTCTCACTCAGCCCCAAATCAGTTAAGACTCACAAGGTCTCCAACCATCTCCCACGTCCTTTGCACCCTCTCCATTCCTTTCATTCCCAACTACTAAGAATTCTTACGGATGTTTATAAGAAAATTTAAAAAAAAACAACAACCGAAAACATCGCAGGGGAAACGTGTCCTTTTAAGAAGATACCTGAAAAGAAGTGAAGATTGTCGTGTATCACTGATGAGGTGGAACCTCCCCTCTCCCAGGAGCTAGGAGCCTAAGAGGGTGGAGGGATCTGATGATCGCACCTTTAAGGCAGCTTTATGTCAGAAGGAGGGATTTTGCGTGAGTGGGTCTGCAAGTGGAGCCGATAGTGATGCAGGCTCGGCGCACAAGAAGAACCCAAGCAAGGATTAAGCAGGGGGATTGTAGGTTTCTTACACAGGGCTAAAAAAAGACCAAGGGGGAAAGGAGCTTGCAATAAAGGAAGAAACCAGAGATACCGAGGGAGACAAGGGGAAGGAGAAAGGATCTTGGTTGAGGCTCTATCCCCGCTCTTCTCAAAGCAGACCCACTCCCCGTCGTATTCATCACCGATAACAAATATTTAATTAAGATGCAAGGGGGGGAAAAAAATCAGCCACAGTACCCAAGAAGGTCCTGCCAATACATTCCTCATTGGGCAGGGTGAGGATGGGTGGCACCAAACAGACTCACCAGCCACAGATGGATAGAGACAACAGTAGCAGCACTGACACAAAGACAGGCATGGAGCTGGGTGTGCGTGCCCTCCCCTCCCCTCCCTCCCTCCCTCCCTCCCCCTTACCCACAGTCAAGGCAGCACCAGCACAAGACAGCTGAGAACGGGATGGATAGGCCTTCCCTTCTTTTCATCCTTCGCCTCAGTTGGGGCAGTGTCAGTCCTTTTTGGGGGGGAGAGCGGAGGAGCTCCTTCTCTGCCCCCTGGCCCAGTATGGTTCAGTGCTGCATCGCCCCTGCGTGGTTTTGGTCAGGTAGCTCCAGCTTCTTGGAGTTGTTCTCCTTGGGACCAGCGGCATCTCCCGCTTTGGACTGTGCCTTCCCCCGCTGACCTTTCTTGTGGCCTCGGATGCAATGGGCGTTGCCGCAGCCTTCGTCGTCGTCGTCTTCACTTTCTGTGGAGCTCTCGTCAAAAGCCCGGGGCTTCTCATAGATGCAGCAGCCTGTGTTGAGAAAAGGGAAGAAGTGGAGAGGAATGGCAAGGAGGGAAGGTTAAAAAGGACTCGGAGGCAATACACATTGAGGACGTAAAAAAAAAAAAAGACGGAACAAAACAAAACGAAAAAGAACAGAACAAAGGGAGAATAAAGAGACATGAGAAGATTGTGAACGAGGAGGAAAGCGAGCGTTGATATGGCACGGGACGGTGTTTAATAAAATGCAAAATGAGCGAAATATATGGAAATATTGGATGCATGAAGATAAGGAATTGAAGGTAGACAGTGAAGAAGGAAGGAAGGGAGGAAGGAAGGAAGGAAGGAAGGATGGAAGGAAGGAAGGAAGGAAGGAAGGAAGGAAGGAAGGAAGGAAGGAAGGAAGGAAGGAAGGAAGGAAAGGAGGAAAACACGAGAGAGATAAGCACAGAAATACAATAATTCACTAGATTATGGAACAGAAATTGTAAACTGACATTGTCAACTGCATATAGGGAAAATCAATATAAAATGTTCTATAGATGGCATTTAACACCAGCGAGATTGGCTAAAATGTACAAAAATATGAGTCCAGAATGCTGGAAATGCAAAAATAAGGAGGGAACATTCTATCATATGTGGTGGCTGTGCCCTAAAGCAAAGATCTATTGGGAACGGATAAGGAACTGGATACAGGAGATAACAAAGGTGCAAATTGAACTCAAACCTGAACTATTTCTTTTGGGTATAATAAATTTAAAGATGGAAAAACAACTCCAATACATCATTGTACACATATTAACAGCAGCCCGCATAGTATATGCCCAGTGTTGGAAAGGTGAAAACATACCTACAAATGATATGATTATATATAAAATACTAGAATGCGCGGAAATGAACAAACTTACGCTAGAACTAAAAGACAAGGCGGCAACAGAATTCTACGAGATATGGAACAAATGTTATGATTGGCTAGAACAGAGAAACAAAAAGATATGACTAATGTAAATAATTGTAAATAATATGAGATGTACAACACAGTAATGTTAAGGGAAAAATGTATTTTTATTTTTGTTGTATAGTGAAAAAGGAATAAATAAAATTTTTTAAAAAAGGAAGAGGAGACAAAAGAATAGTCACTTGTTCACAATTTTCACTTTTGGAAAATGAAAGGACTATGCAGACCTTTTCAAACTCAGAACATTTCTCTCTATCCCATAGGAATCTATAGGGATCAGATCACGATAGCCAGGAGCAAATAATTCACTTTCCTGATACATCTGGGTGCCAGGATAGTAGAGATACGGCAAATTCTTAGCCTCTTTATACCCAACCCACCAAGGAAAAGTAAAGACTCTACATGATGTTTGAATTATGTAGCAATTCTTCTTGCTGCTCATTTATTTGGCCAGGGAACCGCAGGGAGTAATTAGTAATAGGACAAATAGTATCTCTCCAGTTGATTCAGTTTTTGTTATAGTAATATCTCTATTCTGCGATCATCTCAAGATGCCTTCTCATCAATTTCCTATAAGTACTGCTAAGTACCTATGGTTGAGGCAATTAGTATCCTCTCCAGGCTACAATGTCCTAAGCAATCCGGTGTCCCCAAAGCTTATCATTTCCATTTGAAGTTTAAGATTATATTCTAAATATTATCAAGAAACAACCATGGAACATGTCCATTATGGCAAGTGGCTCCCCAACAGAGGACCAATGGAGTATGTATGCGCCAGCATACATGATGACACAGGACTCCTCCACCTACTTTTCCAGGAATGTTTCCCCTATTTCCACTAGTTTGTCAGTATACTGTGGAGTTTGATCTCATTACCTATGCTTACGTTCTGATGCTGTATGCTAGAAGATGACCAGTCTAAAGAAGAATCATATGGCCTTTAAGAACACTTGGGAGTAACCCTAAAGCCAACAAACTACATGTACACATCTCCGGAGAAAGGGATGGATTAAAACAGTGGTGGCGAACCTATGGCACAGGTGCCAGAGGCGGCACTCAGAGCCCTCTCTGTGGGCACGCATGCCGTCGCCCCAGTCCTAGGCCTTCAGCTAGGTTTTATAAAACCTTTTCGCTTTAGGCCTCCGCCGCCATGTGCAAAAAAAAAAAAAAAAGAGGTTCAATCAGTCAATTTCAACTTCTCGCAGAAAAAAAAAATCTTGCAAAGTTGGAATTGATTGATTGAACTTTTTAGTCCCACCCAGTCTGCCGTTACCACTGTGGCCACACCCACCCAATTGGCCATGCCCAGCCAATGGGCCACACCCAGTCAATGGGCCACACCCACCTGGCACTCGACGATGCATAAGTGGGTTTTGGGTTGCAGTTTGGGCACTCAGTCTCTAAAAGGTTCGCCATCACTGGATTAAAACAATGTAAAAAAAAAATGAGTTACCCTCAATTAGTGCATCCTGGACGATGCACTCACATCAGGAGAAATACAAGTAAGAAGGAAGTATTTTAAGAAACAACGGTAGAGAAGGGCAGTGCTCACATTTGGAAGATCTCCGTCCCAAGTGTTCGTTGTCCACCGTGTCACTTGACCATTCCACCTTCTTGGATGGCTTTCGTTTTCTTAATTTGATAGTGAGGCTACGATTTTCCTGGGAAGAAGACCGAAGAGAAGAGGGTTTGATTTATAGATAATCAAGGAATTTCATATTCAATATAAAACAGCTTGATTTTCAATTCTGGGAAATACTTTCCACATAGCTGGACCTGAGGAAAAACCTCTTTATTTTTGCCAGTAAAGACAACTCCAGACAGTTCGGAGGGCAACTTCAAAGTTTAATTGCTGCCGCTTTTTTTTTGATCAAATCCCACCTATACCACAATATCTTATGCCATTATCTTGCCCGTGGAGACAAAACAAAGAAGCCTTTCATTATACATGGAGACAATTACATTTTATATTTTAATAGGTTCTGAGGCAGAAATATGAGCTGTCCATAGGTATTGATAGAGAATCCAAGGCTTAATTGAATTCTATATAAGAGCTCTTAGGTTTTATGAAGAGCACTAATAGAAGAACATTTAAACGGGCAGCACTGCTGCAACACAATATTATATTATATAATATTAATATTATATCCACTAATAATCACATCAGGGTGTCTAGCATGTTTCTTCCTAACACAAAGTATCTTAAAATAGAGAAAATTTAAATGGTATACTTGATATGACACACATATTCGTCAATAATCTACAAAATCATCCACGATTTTGAAAAAGGTGCCCTCCTATGTTTTTGAGCTTCCTAGGGTCAATGGTACATTCATAGGCAGCCGTCGACTTACAACCAGAATGGAATCTGCCCATCATAGTCGTAAGTCAGCTTGGTCATGTGATTCTTATATGGCCAACCTGATTGCCCTGGTCATTAAGCAAACCAATGGTTCGCTATGGGCAGAGTTTTGCCAAAAAAAAAAAAAAAGAGGCAGTGTTGGTTTTCAGCGAAACCATTGTCACGTGACTGCGGGACACTGCAAATGACTGTAAATAAGCCCAAAGTAGGTCTGTCGTAACTTTATTCAATAAATGACCGGCTGTAAGTCAAGGACCTTCTGCAACTGAAACAATATTGTAGGTGGCCTAGTTGATCATGAGCCAAATTCTCTCAGCCCCTTGTAATATCCAAGGTACAAGTAAAATTCAAATAAATAATGTCTGTGAAGACAGTTGATAATTGTAAAAAAAAAATACAATAGGTGCATCCCAAAAATAATTTAGATTGCACTAGCAACATTACTACAGGTCTAGCTTCTGATCCATATGTCTATACACACACCCTTTTGGGAGATTCGGTTCATAAGGAGTTCAGCTGAATCTCTGGATTAGGTTTATAATGGAATTTGTTCCTGTGAACAACACTTTGATCAAACTGAATCAGAGAACTTCAAATCAATCCGATTCATTTTCAATGCCTTTAGCTCAAATGCTGTCTTGGCTTTTGAAGCATTCAAAGCAGCCTTCCATCTTTCCAAGGTTGGTAAAATAAGGACCCAGATGGTTGGGGGGGGGCGAAATGCTGACACTGTAAACCGCTTTGAGGGCTGTAAAGCACTCTGAAGCGATATATAAGTCTAAGTCAGCGGTTCTCAACCTATGGGTCGCGACCCCATTTGGGGTCGATCGACCATTTCACGGGGGTCGCCAAGCAAGGCTGTCCGCCATTTTTTTCCCCTTTTCCGGCGGGTGCCTTACCTCCCTTGAGAGGGGCCAGCTGGTGGTCGGCCTGCTCTGTCTCTGCCGCTTGCCAGCTACGCCTCGGCCGGCGCAGGGGGCGGAACCACGCATGCGCGGCGCTCCCGGGCAGGGAAAGTCCTCGACTTACAACCGGTTGGGTAGTCCTCGACTTACGACCGGTTTAGTCCTCGACTTACGACCGGTTTAGTCCTCGACTTACGACCGGTTTAGTCCTCGACTTACGACCGGTTGGGGGGGTCGCGGCATTAAAAAGGTTGAGAACCACTGGGTCTAAGTGCTCTTGCTATTTCTCAACTTCGGTCACTTTTAAGACCTGTGGACTTCCTCTCCCAGAATTCCTCTCTTCACTTGGGTCAAATGATCATGGGTGTGATAAAACGGCCAAATTCCAGGCGACCGTATTCTGGGACAGAAGTCTCCTGTTTCCAAATCTACGCCATTACGCGGACCCAATTAAAAGGTCCCAACTGGGTCGGGTTCAGTTCACACGTGGGCCTATAATGTCGACCAGGCCTCGATTCCCACTGCAGCAAGGTGTTACGGCAGCCTCCGCTTCCTCCCCACCCTGGAAGACTTCTGCCCTCCAGATGTTCTTCCGTCTCGGAGAGAAGACCTTCCGCTCAGCGAACCGGTACCTGACATGCCAGCTCGCGCCGCAGCCGCGCGGCCCTTCTCGCCACCGCCGAAGTCCCCCCCCCCCGCTTCGGGGTTGCCACGGCAACCGCAGGCGCCGAGGTTCCGCGGGCGGGGCTCCTCCCTCTCCGTCGTCATCATGGTTGCCATGCCGCCGGCTGCAAAACCCCCCCCCCCCCCCCCCCCCCCCCCCCCCCCCCCCCCCCCCCCCCCCCCCCCCCCCCCCCCCCCCCCCCCCCGCCCACCTACCCCGGCCCTCTCCTCACCGGCTCAGTCACCTCCGTCTCGGTGACGGTCGTGGTCGCTCCCACTTTAGAAGTGGACTCGGCCATGCTGCGGCGATGCGGGAACCCGTCTGCGGCGGAGCTGCTTGCGGGAGGGAAGAATATCCGCGGAGCCCCGCTCTCAAGGGCTCGACGGAGCCCTCCCCAGCCTCAGCTCACCTGCCGGCGCCTGTTCAGCCGCAGCGCCCACCCTCCCGCTGCAGTCGCCGTCTCTACCTCACAAGCAGGGGCGGCGGTCGATTTCCAACCCCACTTCCTACTTCCGGTGCATGTGCGTTGCCTTAAGTGATCCCCGTGGAGAGTCCAGACTCACTTCCGGCGTGCCCAAAAGTAAAGCGGGCCGCCTAAGCGCGTTAGAGACCGCGGCGTGGGGGGGGGGGGGGGGGAGGGTTTCCTCTGCTCTTGTGATTAGGGTTGCCAGGTCTGCTTCCAAAAAATAGCGGACAAGGGGGGGGGGGTTAAGTAGTAAAAAAAAGTAACTGTACAGCTTTAGATTACGTACCATTTCATCATAAAGCTTTTGAATAAAAAAAAATGTCCAGTATTTTGTGAAAAAAAATAGTGAACATAATGTGAAAAAAGTGGACTGTCCACTCAAATAGTGGACACGATGGTGGGGCTTGATTCTGAAGTGATGACGATCCCCGGCGTGGGAACAATCCTAGTTTTGGACTCGATGAAAAGACGGACTTTTGTTTACGGCAGCCCCGGAGAAAGACCAGGGAAACTCGATTGTAAAAAAAAATAAATCGATTTTTGTAATAGAAATGTTAAAGTCTGGACTATCTTACCCGATTCAGCTGTCGCAGCTCTTAACTTTCACAGCTTTCATTCTAACTTAACTCCCGTGGACCTCACTTCACGTTTTAAGAAGTCCCTAAGGGGACGTGCGTTAAGTGCATTGGCGTGCCTGTGGTCCCTGTCAAGAGTTTGATTTTCTTATTTTCTTTGTTTGAATTTGTAATTTTTGTTTGATGAATAAATAAATTAAAACAGCCGACTTCTATTAGGGGGCGTTGTCAGGAATTTCATGTTGATGATAAAGAATCTTGTAGCCTTTTAAATGTCTGTTCCAGCCTTAGAAATGCTGACTCACCAAATCCTACTTCATGTTTATTAAAGGGTTAAAATGTTAAAGAAGACTTCACAATGAAACAGACCATTATAGCTATGTAATTCTAGCTTAAACTAAAAGTATCAAAGAACTTCAAATTGTCACATTATTGCCTGACGTTTACCTGACATAATTGGAACAAAAATGCAAGGTCAGTTAATTTCATTGTCAGTTTATGCAAACAAAAGCTGCTCCCCCCCCCAAACACTGGCTTCTGAAGGGTTGCTGTCTATAAAGATGCTTTAGGACTAAGATGCTAGCCTCTGATCAGATCTACTTTGCATCAGAGTAAATTTTCAAATGGTCTTCTAAGGAACACCTCTTTCTAGGGACAATCTCTGCATACAGCATCAGGAATCTGTGTTGCCTAGAATGGTACAAAGCAAACCATGGATCTCAAAATGCAGGCAATCCTTGATAGAAGCTCTTTTTCTTTCTGTAACTTGGCTGTGTGGAGTATCACCAGATATTTATATAACATTTATATCTATCCTGGAATATGTGACAACCTTCTTCTGATGGCATCGTTGTCATTTTCAATATTTTAATATTGCAAGCCAGTAGTTTATAGGCAAATTCCGGACTTGGAATTCAAACTGCTATCTGACAAATCAACTCTTATGAATCTGAAAGGGTTTTTTTCTACTGTTAATAGCTGATCACTCATTTCCTGCAATATTTGAGATCTGTATTTGAGATGATTTCCAACTACGCCCTAGCTAACTAGTCCAAGCTTTAAACAAGCAGAACTATAATGCCTTTTTCAAGATCCTATTAGGAAACTGCTTTATCAGTTTGGTAAGTGTAGTCCAGATATTTGGAAGAAGTCAGAGACAGCAACTGCGCTGCATTCACACCAGTGCATGAGTTGAGCCAAAAAGATGGTGCCTACCTCTCCAAATTATGCAACACCATCAAAGAGCATGCTTCTGTCCTCCCTCCCAATTAGAGAAGTGTGATATAAGCCCACACCTTGGAGAGGAATTGGAATTAAAATAACCCAATGACTTTTCAATATACAAGCCAATTCCCAGTGTTGTTTTGTATTGAATGCTATCAAGAAAATCAAATTTTGGAAACCCAAGGGGAAAGATTGATAGAAAAGAGCACTGAGGTACTAAGGACCCACAATGATTTAACAGGGCTGTGTATCAAAGTGTACTGGTATCCAGCTGGAATGGACTTTGGTAACCCTTTTGAAATCTTCAAGATGCTTTGATGTTGTTACCTACTGGCCAGTAGGAGTCACTATGTAACAAGTTTGGTTGTTACTCGGATTATTCAGGTTAGGCAGCCTCATGCTATGTTCTATGTTCAACTGTTTAACGGAATTTGAACCTTCATAAAACTTTCTAATGTGAAGGCATATAAGAAAAGGAAGGCATAATTATATAGCTTTTATAAGCCTACCTTTCCTGCAGGCTACTGGCAGCCAGGCCAAGATAACTTAAAAGTTAATTGTACAGTAATACAGTAGTCAACAAGTGAATGGCCTATGAGTTCAAACCCCATTAAAAGATTGGACACTGAATATCTAGTATGGAGGATGCAGAATTGCCTGGAAAGTCCCAATAAAGGCAAAAGTGATTGAATAGTGTCTCCTATTCATCTATAGTTAGTTCAATATCTAAAAACTACACAAGTAGCCCCATCTCCTTTAAGGGGAGGCGGTTTTGAGACTCACATTAACAAAAATCAGAACATTTGCATAGCTCCTTCATGATGTCTGATGAAAGACTACACATTATTTATTCCTGTCATGCTCATTTAGTTGCTACTAAAGTCTCACATCAATTTCCTAAAGAGCCACAAAGCAGAATTAGATCATTTTGCAAAATATAGGATTATGATGAGGTCATACAATTGCATTGCTAAGCAACCACCCCACACAGAATCCTCTTCATTCCATTTTGAAACAGAATTCAGACCTGCATGACGAAAGCCGTAACATATCCAAAGGAAAGTGCAAGATCAATCTTGTCCCTTGTCCTGTGAAAAACTCAGAAGCTTATAGAAGCAGGAGGAACCAGTAAAATTCAATAAAAACATGAATTTATAGGGAAATAAATACACATAACAGCAGCAATAAAGAGAAGCTTGCAACTCAACCCATGTTATGAATACTGTACTTTCACTGATCAAAACAACTGAGATAAAGGAGATTTGAAATTCTGGAAGGCCACTTGTCAGGTCCTGTTTTTGCTGTTTCCATTTTCATTTGAACTGTGCAATCAGTCACCATCTGTCATCAATCATCCAATTTAAACGAGATGCTTCTAAAGCATCTAAGAACGGTACAGTCTCTTCATAAAAATACAGAAATGATTCTCTGTCACGAGTGGAGTTTTAAGTACTGTCTCCCACGTATTTTGGCAAACACGATTAAGAATCTTCTTTCTCCTGAAACCTAGAATTTAAAGAACAAACAGCATAAATACTCTGAGATGTATTATAGTTCCACGCAACTGCTGACAACGGATTAAAAACATATGCTTCATTCATTAATGACTCATCGTAATCATTTTACACACAGCAATTAATATTATAACATCTGTACAACTATCCCACTTGTTTTATACATAATTTATATAGCCTGACAAGGTAGATTATTTCAGAACTTCAAAAGCAGAATAGGCAAGAGAATGAAGACTCATCTGAGACCTATTCTGCAGAAAAATCTGGAGCCGTCATCAAATGGTATCTCCAATACTTATCTTCGAAAAGAACTCAGATGAGTACTGGAGATTGAACAAGAGTGTTAGTTATGATCGGTCACTGTACTTGTATGCCGTCTTCCTATGGTGATCTTGCAATCTGGGTGCTTGATGCTCAGCTCAAATTATGAAGTCACAGCATCCCATGGTCATGGGATCATCATTTGCAACCTTCTTTACTGGCTTCCTACAAGCAAAGTCAACGGAGCAGCCAGCAGGAGGTTGCAAATGGCAACCTCTTGAAGCCCTTGCTATACAACCTTCAGTGATTCACTTAATGACAGCAACCAGGAGCACTGGAATTCCCATCATTAAGAGTCATGGTCACTTGACTCTGCACTTTACAGCTGCTTTACTGTCGTTAAGTGAGGACTACGTGTGCTAAAATGAATGGTAAATTAAGTCTTTAAAGTTCCTCCTGGAACTCAGATATATTTTCATCATGGGGTATCATCAGGTGTGAGTCTCCCAAAGGTTGCCTTTAGAACCACATTCACAGCGTCTACTGGTAGACCAGAAAACAGTGTGTCATATTCTTGGGGGAATTTGTACAGATTTAGATCATCCCTGAATAAAATAGTAAAATATATAAATCCTAAATAGTTTATGGTCTTAAGGGCTAATCCTAACATTTAATGTTGAGTCTTGTAACAAGCAAACAATATAGCTGGGACAAAACAAATGTGACTTAATTTAAAACATCTAGTCATAAGTCAAGGGAGGCAATATACAAGCTCTTACTTGCATTGGATGCAGGTGTAGAAAACCGTCTGCCCTTCATCTGCAGATCTCATCTGCCTAGTATGGTAGGCCATGCCCTCATGCCCACACCGAGAACATTTTCTGTCAATCTGAAAAGGTTGAAAATGAACAAAATAAGAGTTCGGTAAACCTTTTGACGCTGGTATGGCAGAATCCCTAAGGTGCAACTGAGAAACTGAGGCAATAAATACAGGCTGCAGAGTCTTTCAAGGTACCCTTATACAAGCTTGTATCTCGTGTAATCTCCTACACACAATTTTTAAAAATCTAAGAATGGACTTGGTCTTTCCTCAAGGGTAAAACATGACCCCTCTGCAAAGGAATTCATTTCTGCTCTCATGTTCATTTTCCTTCTCTGCAGCTGTTCCAGATTGATTATTTCTTAAATTGTTTCCAGAAAATATAATACAGTCAAAGCCTATTTTAAATGTTTGATGGGGCACAGTGGGGTCTGCTATTTCCCATGTCAGCACAGGGTGACCCAGACAGCATCTGCAAGGGTGACATAATTGTGCAAATAAGGCAAACAGTCGTAAATTATGTAATTTTCATCATTTGCATATTGACACCATCGTGCCTATGATGCCTAATGGAACCAATAACTAGTCTTCTCATTCACTCACCAGTGGACCCTTAACTTCTTTTCCTTTCTCTGCACTCAAAGAAGAGGAATCTATTTTGTTGAATGTGACAGATGTATGGATGACTCTCTTTTCAAACTCTATGCAAAGAAGAAAATGTATGAAGAATGATTAAAATGCTCCTTAACTCAAGCTTATCAATTTCTTTTCTTTCTTTCTTTTTTTTTGTGCTTTTAAGTCAATGTTGATTCCTGGCAACTGCCTAGATCAGGGGTCTTCAAACTTGACCCTTTTATGACTTGTGGACCAACTCCCAGAATTCCTCAGCCAGGCATGCTGGCAGAGGAATTCTGGGAGTTGAAGTCCACAAGTCATAAAAGGGCCAAGTTTGAAGATCCCCGGCCTAGACAAATCTCTGTAATATTACTGGCAAGATTTCAGAAGTGTGTTGCCTTTGTCTTCTTCTTCCTAGAGCTGAGAAAAAGGGACTGGACCAAGGTCACCAAGCTGACATCATACCTAAAGGTAGGACTAGAACTCAGTCTTCCAATTTCTAGCCTGGTGCCTTAACCTCTATACCAAACTGGTTTTATATTTCATCTAATGTTCCTTATATTCTCACAATTTGGAGTGGAACACATGATCACTAAAGCTGTGTTATTTCCAACAGATAAAAATCTAGCGTGTCAGGAAGAGGATTAAATTACAACTTTTTCCTGACAACTACTTTTCTAAATCAAGGGTATTGCTTTTTGTATCATTTTTTTTTCAAAGATTGTGTTTTTTATGAAATGATATATTCTAGTTATAAGTGAGACACTGTAATCTCTTCTGCTGTTTTGAAAAATTAAGCACATTAAGGATAAACACTCTCTTTCCATATTTAAACATGAAATGCATAATTTCCAATTTAAATAGATGTTCATTACAGTAATAGACACCCCATCCGCCAATGGTGCATTAAACTGAGACTTCATTCATTGCTTCAAGTGCAGAAATAAATGGTGGAAGTATTAAATGAATGAACTCAGATGGGAAAGATAGAAAATTACCAATTTCTTTTAATAAAAGAACACTGAAAAGTATGCTTAGAATTTGTTATCTATGAATTTGAATACTCCTGGAAAAATATACACCTACAAAACACGACTTACCTTGCACATCAATGTTGAAAGAGCAACAGGGGCATATCACCTTATCCTGGATACCTGGCAGGGGCAGGACAGTACCACACTCAGGACAAAAATCAAGTTCTGACTCAAAGTAGGAACCTCCTTGTTCCATAATTAGAAAATAAACTGAGGCTGTATGGGAAAGAATACATACACTTCATCGTAAAAATCAAAAAGTGATCCCAGAATAATTACTCATACCCTATCTTAAGAATACACACTTTTGAGGGCCACTTGAGATGTCTGATCTTCTTTTGCTGGTTGGCAAGCTGATGTTTTTTCATCTTATATGGAAAGGCCACTTCCCCTAATCAATCATTCATTATCTCAAATGTTATCAGCTCTAATATTAAAATTATTAATTTTGGGCCTGGTACTTTGTCAAATAAATAGGGACAGATTTCTTTCCATATAACTTTAAACCCAGAAAGAGGGGAGAAAAAACCTGGAGTAAATAGTGGAAGAATTAGTGTGTGCAGCTATATTTATATACAATGCAAATGTATGAAATGAAAATATAATCTTCCCAAGCTCTGTTTAGTTAATACGAACTAGTTTTAACATGGATCCATCTTACTTTTCCAAAACAGTTAATACTGTACTGTATATTTTGATATATAATTTAATGCAGAAACAAAATATAAATGTTCCCAAATAATAGATCACCATTGGCCATAATGACCAGGGCTGATACAAGCTGAAATTTAACCACAATTCCAGAGCCATAGATTTCCTTCTCTACTCCCTATACTGAACTTGCCCAAATGCTGCTTAACTCGTGCCCAGAAAAGTAAAAACGCTCTAGAATCTAGCTCGCCTCTTGATGAAGTTTCTTATCAATGTGACGAAACGGGTCTGTCTTGGTATGTCGCCATCCCACTAAAAAGAAGCAGATGGTCTACTTCTGCAGAACAGTAATTGCATCTACTTCGATTTTCTCCTATCTGGAAGCTCTTCTGTGTGCTAGATTGACGATCTGCCTCATTCTAGACAGCCCTTTGCACCGGCTGAGAATAATGGGGGTTGGAATCGAATTTCCTCCAAATCGGGGGTAAGAGACACTTGAAGAAATGTGAATGCCTCTCACTAAGGTCGCTTTGAGCTGAGAAAATCGAGCAATTTAAGTTTTCATGCAATTTCTACCAATCTTAAGTATCCCCCCGCCCCCCAGTGTAATGTAACAGTTTAGCGGAGGAGCTCGTGAGTGCACCTTAAAGTCCAAACGCTCGAATCATAACCATAGTCGATATATTCGATATAATCGATAATAAAAATCATAATAATACCGTTGCCCTCCGTCCATTTATCAGCTGTCGTCGGCTTCTAAATGTAACTCCACGTGCAAACTCAGCAAGAATGCTCAATTGGTTTCCCGGAGAGACAAGCTCGAGAGCGCAGAGCGGCCACTCTTCAAGAGCAGTAGAAAGAAAAAGTATAAGCGCTAGACTGTCCACACAACAATCCTCTTCTTCTCGTGATGAGTTTTCTAGCCCATTTTTTTTTTCTGATTGGGGCTGTATTCACGTATAATAAGCCTGCAAGGTTTGTTTCCAGCCAATTATCTGAAAACGCTTGCCCAAAAACCCATGCAGGGACTTGCCCAAGCAGTCTCTGAGAACCAGACACGATTGAACGGGGCAAAAAATAAATAAAATGGAGATAAAGGATCAGATTGGAGCCCATAATGCAGGGAGTACCCTATCCTACATTTTTCACAGTTGTATTGCGCACCATTTATTGTAAAGAGAATTTATACTGTGAAACTTTCCAAAAGTTGTTATTGGTCAGAAAGTATGCGCAATGGCATAATTCGAGATTCGGGAAAGCAACCTTTGCATCTTTTTCAAAAATATCTTCAGAACTGGAGATCCCCATAGAAAGGAACAGAACAATATAATGCAGATTTAATGGATATTTATTTATATTTCGTATTTCTTAACCACCTATCTTCCCCAGAGTCCCATGCAAATTCCACGCAAAATTCAAAATATTGTGGGAATTACATTAATTTTGAGTATGTCTACTACAAATAATACATTAAAGAGGCTCTTTATCAATATCCAAAGGCTAGTTATGTGTATTCTTTCTGTTGTTTGGATTTAATTTTTTAAAAATGTAAAAGAAGAGTATGGATCTGAAAAAGTGAAATGAAAACCTCCCCACAGCTGTTTGAAAAACTCACTACAGTACTTGAGTTGCAGATGTGTTCTGCATTTGCACTCTAGCGTGTTTTGACACACTTTTTCCAAAGGACTGCACAACCTTGTTTTATTTATTTTCATGCATAAACACATACATATTTTTTTACTTACCGTATATCTCATCTTTTTACTAATCAAACATTGTTAAAGGTAGGGTTTATTAAACTAGGTGCGTTTCCAGCAATCACCTGACTATTTCATTCTTTTTCAGCATTCAGTTTAAAGCACTACCAGCAACAACAGCATGAATCACTGAAATCATTATCTTGGAGAGGATATTCCACATGAAGAAGTTCTGTCTCCAGCACACACTGACTACATATTTAATGCAAAGGGTCAAAGAAATAGCTAAGGAGTTGAATGGACCTACGCAGAAATGTGGCTCTTGATATATTCTAGTTCAGCTCCCATGCTGTTTATAGAGTTTTAAAGATCAAAAGTAGCAAATTAGTTAAAATAGGTAACCATTTATGTGTACACACTATAGGCCAGGGGTGTCAAACTGCCGGCCCGCAGGCCGAATGCATCATGGTGAAACCGCGCCCACCCCATTGCTGGCAATGGGAAAAAAAGACATGTCATGTGATGTGGCGAGTTTGACACCCCTGGTATAGACCATTAGAATGCATATTTGTGAAAATACAGATTAACTAAGATCTGGGATGAGTAAATTACCTATTTTTAAACTCTTGAAATGCTTTTAAATTAAATACCATTTAAATACTATAGTTAAATGTCATTTTCCCAACACTGTATAATTTGTTGGATTATTCCAAAGGTGATATACATGAGCAATAAAAATAAAGAACACCGTCCCTGCAATTATAAACATCATCATCATTGTAATTATCATGAATCATGTTGTTTTTCTGAAAGAAATGGCAGCTACTAGCTTTATTTTTTCATCATTAGTCTTTGCAGCATGTTTGGAGTAACAAAGAATGAGCATTTGTTAAAAGTATTGATTTTGCTCTGTTGAATAAGGTTGATAAATGACCTTCATTAGACATTGACCTTCACTATTGATATTCTTTATTGTTGATCTTCATTATTCTTCGGATGGCTTTATGTACCTCTTTGTTCCTCAGAGTGTAGATCAGTGGATTAAGCATGGTGGTGACAAAGGTATAGAAGAGGGAAATCATCTTGCCTTCATCACCAGAGTACTTGGACGGAGGTCGGAGATAACTACAAATAGCTGAGCCATAGAAGAGTGACACCACCATCAAGTGGGAGACACAGGTGTTGAAGGCCTTCCGCTTCCCTTCAGCTGAGCGGATCCTCAGTACAGCAGCCACAATGTAGCTGTAAGAGATTGCGATGAGACCCAGAGGTGGTAGAAGGAACATCAGACTTGAGGCAAAGAGCTCTGCCTCATTAACAGAGGTGTCCACACAGGCCAATTTGATCAAGGCTGGTACCTCACAGAAAAAGTGATCTATCTGGTTCTGCCCACAACGTGGAAGACTAAGGGTCATGAGTGTCTGTACTACTGAATTGCTGAAGCCACTTCCCCATGAGATAGCAGCCATTGTGAAACACAGAGAATGGCTCATAATGGTAGTATAGCGCAGTGGATGACAGATGGCGGCATAGCGGTCATAGGCCATGACAGCCAACAAAACACACTCCGTGGAGCCCAGACCAAGAGAGATGAATAACTCACCCACGCAGGCACCATAAGTGATAGTCTTGCTTTTTCTCCAGAGGTTCACCAGCATGTGGGGCCCAAGACAGGTGGTACAAGAGAGATCAAGGAAGGAAAGGTTGTTGAGAAAGAAATACATGGGGGTATGGAGATGGGGATCTAATCTTGATACCACAATGATGGTTGTGTTGCCTAACAGCGTCATCAAATAGCAAGTTAGGATAAGAACAAAGAGCAACATCTCCAAGTGTGGCCGGTCACTCACTCCCAGTAAGATGAATTCTCCTTGGTAGCTTTGGTTTCCTTTCTCCCATGATGAGTCTCTGGACATCCTCTAAAAAAGAATTCAGGGAAATAAAAAGAGCAGCAGAAGAAATGGAAATAGATTATGGATGCTGACTTGAATGAAAGTAATTTAAATGAAATATTAAGGTTTATTGAGGATCACCCAATGATTTGCACATTTGGATTGAGTTCCGACTTTGGCTCTGATTAATCCAGGAATATTTTTGATGTTGCCTTCCATCAAAAATATTCCTGGACTTTCAGTAGTTCTAGCAACCCCGCCCCCTCCCATTTTTTTTAGTTCTTATTCAGAGCTGATCTTGCTTGCCCCATCATTACCCCAGACCCTTATAGTTTCAGGAGGGCAGAAGTACAAGTCCTCATTCCACACTAAAGCTGTTAAGATGACTTTTGCTAAAAAAAAAATTGTTCCACATTAATAGTAGTATTTAATTCTGCTGTTTCAACCGGGGCAGTTCAATCACTTGTTGTGCTTATTGTCTTACCCAAATATCTCTACCAATAAAGAGAATATTTGTAGCTGAGGTTGAACTGTGGAGTCCTTTCTGTTCTCTGAGCTCAGTTGTTTTCTTGCAGATGTTTCATTACTCAACTAGAAACATCTTTCATTACTTAGTTGGGTAATGAACTTTCTGCAAGAAAACAACCAAGCTCAGAGAGCACCAAGGACTCCACAAATATCTCTGTTACAATTAGACGGGCATCCTCAGTTGGATCTTGCTCTTTGCCCATTGGCCTCCATTTTATATAACATTGCTGGGTGGGCCTCTGATGAAAGAATTGGTGCGGTGGGATCAGTAATGTAGTAGAATGTTGAAATGCTGACTGTTGCTTTTTCCCCTTTAACTGAATGAAATTGACAAGAGTTCTGTTTCCATTTCTAGCCCCAGTGATCAAAAGAGGGGAGTCCTCAAAAGACATCCCCCCCCTCCCCATAGAGAAAGAAGTTGGTCCTGATTTCTGGGGAAACCAGGAATTGAAGGTTATGCATCATTATGGATGAAACCAAGGAAGAGCTGAAATTCAGAAAAGCATTTGTTAAAAAACGGTTCAATCTCCAGCTAGTTTACTCACAGGGGACAAGCAGCTGAAGGCTGCCGTGGAGAAAAGTCTTCTGATGGCTGGGAATTCACTTCCAAAATTTCTCACAATGAGAAGAAAATGTTGTTCTTTCACTTCTTTAATGGAGGTAGCCAAAGAGCGTAGATGAATAAATTTCCCTTTATTGTACAATTATCTCCCCAGTCCTCTCTGAACATCAGAACAAATCCATAGAAAGTTATCAAGGTGAAGTTCCATCCACTCCATCTTTTCCAGATTGAGAATAGTCAGCAGCCAGGGAAGCTTCAGAAAGATGGAAAAATGTGTAACAGAAAGCAACAACCCCCTTCACTGCCACAACCAGGACAGAAAGCTCAAAAATAGCAAGAGAAATTTGAGAGAAACTGTCAACTACCCTGAAAGTAATATAGAAACACATCTGGGAAGGCAGAGCTTGAGATAATGCAAATCAGATGTTGACATCATAATCTGTACGGTCTTAAAAATGCTCTTAAGGATATAATAGATTTTACATTAGACTCTGACAAAATTTCTCATTAGGGGTTCTTAAAAACTTAGTGGCTGTGGTTTAAGAGGATTTGGTGTTTAATGCACTGCAAATTAACAAAGCAAAGCAAACATTTCTATTTGTAGGAATAAAGGGTACTTTTCTTTATGAAGAAAAGGGGCTGCCATAAAGAAGAGGGAGTCAAGTTATTTTCCAAGGCGCCTGAAGGCAGGACAAGAAGCAACAGGTGGAAACTAATCAAGGAGAGAAGCAACCTAGAACTAAGAAGAAACTTCCTGACAGTTAGAACAATTAACCAGTGGAACAACCTGCCTCCAGAAGCGGTGAATGCTCCAACACTGGAAGTTTTTAAGAAGAGGCTGGACAGCCGTTTGTCTGAAATGGTATAGGGTTTCCTGCCTGAGCAGGGGGTTGGACTAGATGACCTCCAAGGTCCCTTCCAACTTTATCATTATTATTATTATTATTATTATTATTATTATTATTATTATTATTATTATTATTATTATTATTATTATTATTATTAAGTCCCTCATGGATCTGCGTGGTGACTGATATTTTTAATTTGTTCATAAATTATTTTGATGAGTAAGCAGTGTCTGGTTTTCAGGAAAAAACAGAACAGAAGAACAATTATTATTGTTTAAT